TTCTAGGTGCGCATCAAATGAGCCAGAAAAAAAACGATTTGGTTTACTGTTGTAGTCTTCTAAAATTATGAGTGAAAAGTTATCAGAGTGATGAGGCTCGTTACCAGGTTCCGAGCTAAGAGAATAAATAGGTAGGGTTGAAATTTGAATCAGAATTAAGAAGGTGAAAGGTAAGACTAAATCGCTGCCAAGAAAAAGAAATAAATAGGAAAAAATAAAGCGAACAAAATCTTTCCACAGTGAAGGAGAAATTCGATGATAGCTTTCACTGTTCTGTTGTCCTGCCATTCTCAGCCCTTTCACAATTGAAAACGAACCCAAGAAATACCAGACATAATACAGACTGCGGTTACCATTTCCTTTCGGTCTAGACCGCAACGAAGCAAGAGTCCATTGTAACCTTTCCGCGGAGTTATTACTGTGGCTGTCATATTCTATTCATTAAGCGGATAATATTGTTTAATATTGTAAAGTGCCCATTACCAAAAAAAAAAAAAAAAAAAAAAAATCTAAGCCTTGCATGTAAAACGAAGGAAGCAAGACAACATATAGCTGACCATTGTTAGTTTTGGTCGAAAATTGTATTTTATTTATATTTATTTGGCTTGTTTATTTGTTTTCTGACCACGTGATTTGTCCTCTCCTTTATTTTCACCCACTCCAGTGTTTTCTTTCCTTCTTTTTGTGATGGTTACTTGAAAACCTTAACTCGCGTTTCTGGCGTCCAATAGAAGAAGGTAGACGGGAGAGTAGCGGTTGTCTCCCTTATCTTATTTCTCCGGTTGTCGACGGAATACATTGAATGTCTTCGTTCTCTTCCGCCGACGACATCACTCTTCCATTTCCGGTTACAATGTCAGCAGCTCTTATCAATCAATGATCACAAATAAATAAATAACAGTTTTTAAAAATAATAAGAAGAAAGTAACAAAACTAAAGGAAAAGCAAAGTAATTGTGAATATTTGGGAAGCTATTTGCCTACTCGAAGATCGGACTAATGTTGAAGTGCGGATATAATATTTGGAGTAGAGAATGTTGAGTATCGGGGCTCCAAATGAATTTCTTCCGTTTGCGAAAAATGCAAAGGTTTTATGCTGGACAGTCGTTGCTGGCATATGAAGTAGGCAATGGCTGGTTTAGTTGGGATCAGGAGGTTCGAATTCAGGCATATCCGGGGACTGGGATTGTGAATTAGGACTTTAAAACCCTTTTCTTTTCTTCTTTCTATGACAACTTTCGTCCTTTCTTTCTTTATTTCTTTCGTTCTGTTTTCTTTCTTTCTTTCTTTCTTTCTTTCTTTCTTTCTTTCTTTCTTTCTTTATGATCATTTCTTTCTTTCTTTCTTCATGTTTATTATATTATTCCTTTCTATGCCAACTTTCTTTCTTTCTTTCTTTCTTTCTTTCTTTCTTTCTTTCTTTCTTTCTTTCTGCATTATCTTTTCATTATTTTAATCTATTTCCACATTCATTCATTCTTTCTTTCATTCATTTTTAAAAATTTTTTCTTTATTTTATTCAATTACTTCTTTCATTCTTTCTTTACTTTGCTAATTTCATTCTTTTTTACCTGGCTGACAGATATCAGGAGATGGACATTCGTAACAATATATATATATATATATATTTTATTATTATTATTATTATTATTATTATTATTATTATTATTATTATTAATAGAAATGTTATAAGTATAAGAAACTATACTCGCTCGGAAAACCTTCGGTGTCTTGATTTACAAATAAACAAGCCAATACCAAAGAGGAAAAAAAGGTATATAAAAAAGAAAGAACCAAGAACATGTACGTTAACCGAAAATAATCATCCAGGCCCAAGAAAAAAAAACCCGATGCGCGTACCCAAAATAACTAAATAAAGTGCTCAATACAATGAGTAGAGCAGACCTAGCTAAACCTAGAGAGCCAGACAAACCTACCAAGGTTTCACCTAAGCGGATCGCTCTCTCTATATATATATATATTTTATATATATATATATATATATATATATATATATATATATATTTCCGTGTGTGTATGAAAATATCGAGGGTTTGTTGAAAATATTAAAGACTATTATTCATGTAGAAATTGGATAAAACAGGGACAGGAGGCGAACCCATCGCTAAGTCGTATGCGTAAATGTTAGCATAGTGATCGTAAAATGGTAATCATTTGGTGCAAGACAGTAGTAGTTTACGTAAAATATTTGGTCTAATATTACTATTTTTATGTTTTTTTTTAACAGGAACATTAGTAAGCAAATTGTAATTTTGCTATAAAAATATATTGTTAGTCATTTTATTTTAAAAATGTATTGTTGGTCATTTTATTATAAAATGCAGTGTTGGCCATTTTATTATAAAATATATTGTTAGTCATTTTGCTATAAAAGAAGAATAAAGAGAAGAAAAAGAAGATAGGAAACGAGTGAGAGGAAAACCTACTAAAAATTACTTGTTCGAATCAAACATAGATGCCATTTGGAAATAGTTTGAATGTTTGTAAAAAAACAAGTGTGCCGGTTCCAATAAATGTTTGGCTGAGAAATTTATATGAGTTTAAAAAACTGGAATAAAAATCTTGGCCTGCAGAAAATTATTAAAAAAATAAAAAATAAGAGTAAGTGTACTAAACAGTGTTCGGGGTAGTGTGGGGGTGTGACTGAAGGAAATAATTTAATCATGTTGGCACTTGGCACACAAGAATACAGAAATCAGGAAAAAGTAATTAATTGTTAATATTTCCGAAGAATTCGAAACAATTCCAGAATGTTTTATCATGCAAATAAGAATTTAATATACACACCTGGTGGTAAACATCAGATAATAGCAACGAGTGACAGAGTCTATAGTATGCTAAGCAAAACCATTAGAAAGAAATGCAAGCAAGCAAAAGATGTATGACTCAATGAGAAGTGTGCAGAGATAGAAACAGTATGGGATATAAATAGTGTAGGAATAAATAAAGAGACAGAAATCCTCTTGGACATGATGCATAAAGATTTATAAACGGAACGATTATAATAGAAAAAAAGATACGACAGAGATGGAACGATTACAAAAGAGAGAAACCTACAATGCATAAAAATAATGCAGAACCTGTAATAATAAAATCTGAGATCAACACGGCGAAATTTCCTACGGCGAAATTTCCCACGGCGAAATTTCATAAGGCGAAATTTCCTACGGCGAAATTTCCTGAGATGTGTTTTCCTACGGCAAAAAGGTTTACTGCGAATGTTCCGGATACGTGATCTATACATGGCAGATATTACTGGAAACAAATAGCCTGCATGCGAACAGAGAATGAGTTCAATAGATATACAAAAATAGAAAGAAGAGTAAGACAAGGATTCATCTTCTCGCCGGATTTATTTAACCTATACAGTGAAATGATCCTTAGAAAATAAGACATCATATCAGGATTTATTATCGGCGAACATAGAATACACGGATGACACTACGCTGATAGCAGATTCAATAAATTCTGAAATAACTCTGAGTCAAGGCAGAAAAAAAGAAAGCCAGAAGAAAGGGCAAATTATTAACTATAAGGAAACAGGATGGGAAGAGGGTTCTGTTTGTAATATTGATAACACCGGTTCCCGTTCGATCGCCAAAGTTAAGTAGAGTCGAGTTGGGTTCGTTATATTCATTTACGCTTGGGAAAGGTATGAATTCACCTCTTCTCCCTCAGATATGGGTTAATTAGTAAGAATCTCCTTCATGGCCCGTTAAACCATTATTATCTAAAAAAATAATTAAAAACATTTTCTGGCTTTAAATAACTTGAAAAAGTTTGATAAATCGTACAAAACGAATAAATCAATCAATTAAACTTGTCAACTAATAACAGAGAATGCAGTTATTAAACAAACGTGACGAAGAATCCGCATAGGATTTGGTATACTCAGATTATTCTTCAGTTCCTCAATTTTCGAACAGAAAGCATTCAAACATTGCAGATTATTTTAATCATTAAACATGGCGGATTTTCTAACTACCAAACAAGGCGGACATTTGTTTAGGAATTTTGAAGCAATTTAAAGCGTTAGTTATCCAAAACTTCTGGAGTGCACGAGGAAATGCATTTCAAAATTAATTATCAACTCTGCAATGAGAAAATACTTTTTAGCATTTACTGATGTTTTTTAGACAAAAACACCAATATTTTCAGAAAGACTGGAGGGACTAAAAATAGAAAAAGACTCGAGAATAGCTATCCCGGATTTGTATTCAGTATTTCTCATGACCAGATCAAACTCTTGGCATTTTTAAATCCCGAAACAAGTTCTCAGGAACGTTTCTAGTTATAAAACTTTGTTGTCTTTTCAACACTGTCGGGTAGCTTAACGGTTATTAGCACTGAAAATAGAAACATCGAACCGGTTGAAAACTCCGATTGGAACAGCTTGCGTTTAATTCGTACTTGGGAAATACATGAATTCACTTCTCCCTCTGGTTATAGGTAAATAGCAGAAACTTTTTAATCTGATAAAAAACAAACCATTTAGGACATTTTGAGGGCAAGAGTCGTTCTATTTTTATTTTGGTATCATGTAACCTAATACGCACAGATCTCGCAGAGAAGATGAATAGGAACAAGTAAATCTGTACTGTTTATATATGTCATGAAGCCGGGGGGGTGGATTTACGTAGCATAGAACCGAGGCAATGTAATAAGTTTGAGGAAACATCCGTATCTAGATATTTTACATTATTTACATTATTCGGACTATTGTCCTCATCTTTGTCGCCATATTTATCACAACGTTTTCGATAAATATGGCGACAAAGATGAGGACAATAGTCCGAATAATGTAAATAATGTACATAATACCTCATCTCAGAAATATAGATAGACTCTGGATATTTTAATATTACAATTACTCTAACGCAAAATAAGTTATTGCATTCTGAGCTCAGCTGGCAACAGGAATTAACAATTCGATTAAAAAATACCGCACTATTATCCATTACACTACCCGAACATCCAAGT